CCCTCCCCATGCTCGCACACCCGCGTGCGCCTCCAGAGCGCAGGGACTGGGGACGCTGGTGCCTGGCAGCAGTGAAGCCAATGTCCAAATGCGAGGCAGGACGGTCGGGAGGTTTGCCTTTCCCGGGGCCCCGCTGCTTGGTGGCCCAGTTGCCTCCACCAGCAACAACCGGCCAATGCAGAGGCCTCTTCTGCGCAGTGCCGTGCAGCTGGCCCCTGTGACACTGGCACTGAGTGCGCGCGCGCACACACACACACACACACACACACACACACACACACACACACCCTGCCCCATGCATACACCTGTGCACCCTCAGCCTGCACCAGCCGTGGGCTCCAGGGCACTTGACTGCGTGGCAGCGTGGGGGGATCAGATGCCTCCAGTGGGAAGAGGTCAGAGCCAGGAGGAGGAGGAGCAGCTCTGGTCCATAAGAAGCATGTGGGTGGTTTTGGATGGGTCCCAGGCAGGGCAGCTGTTATTTCTGGGCTGAGATAAGACACGTGTGGGGCTGAGCTGGGCACCCGCAGCCAGAGCCAGGCCCCAGGGGCGGGAGCTGGATTTCAAAGCCCAGGCTGCTGCCTGCACCCTGTGAGTGCTCCCGTGTCCCGGGGGGGATTCCTGATTCCCTCCTGCCAAAGCACACACCTGCCACGCGCCCAAGTCCACACCCAAAGGGAAAGGCTAAAGTGAAACAGCTGTCTCCCCACGCATGCCGCTCCCTGGCTGTGCCCCCGTCAAGTGTGCACACACCATGCACACTCACTGCACACACGCTGCACATGCACCTGTGCTCGCAAGGTGGTCCCTGCCCTTCCAGCAAGGGCGGGAGGTGGGCGGCTGTCCGAGGCGGCAGGGGGAGGCTGCCTGCCCACCCGTGTGTGCATTTGAGGCAGGGGGCCGGGTAGGGGGCAGAGGGGCTGTGGCCGTGGTGGCCCCGGGCCCTGTGTCCTGGGCCATGCCTCACTTGGCTGTCCAAGCCCCGCACTGCACTATTGGCGCGTGGTCACTGGTGGGTGCACGGGGCCGTGGCTGGGGGCCCTCGGGGTTGGCACGCTGCTCCCGGCACACGGGCTGGGGTCCCGGGTCAGCACCTGTGGAGCTGCCCCTGCGTCAGTGCATGACCCGGCAGCCCCTGGCCTGCTCCCGGCCGGATGGATGGCGGTCCGGACAAGGAAGAGCCTCGTTACAAGTCGGAGGCAGCCACACGAGGGGATTCAGGATTAACTGGCGTGTCAGGGAGAAGTGATGGAGATTGCTGCTAATTAGTGTGTCTCCCCTGCCTGGGAGGGAGCAGAGCCGCGCTCCTGCTAACGAACCTGCCTGCAGCAGGCGGGCGGCGGAGGCGCCTCGCTTTCCCGGTGCGCTCGGCGCTGGGGAGAGGTTTCTTGACGTTAAACTTGCCTCGCGGCTGTGGATTTAGCTAAAGCGCCGGCTCGTGCGCGCAGCAAGGGGGCCTGGCGGGAGCGGGGCTGCCGGGCCCGTGTGCACGAGCAGGCGGCTCAGCTGGCCGGGCCGGCGCCAGGGAGGACGTGGGGCCCGGCAGGAGGCCGGTGCTCTGCGGCTGGGCCCGGGGTGCTCGG